GAGCGCGGCGGCATGCCTTCCACGCCAGCTCGGGCACCTGGTGCGTTGAGCCGGCAACTGCAGGCGCGTGGCGCCAGCGACTGGCGGCTACGACTGTCTCACGCTGGCGCTGACGAGGTGCAGGGTGTGATCAGAAATACCGCCGGCAGTCTGATCTGAACGCGAATGTGCGCATGGTAACGCTGATTAGACCAGCAAAGCACCCGCATTTCAGTTTACATCTCCACCAGGAATGCGTCGCCTGTGGAAGGGGGCGCGTCTGGGGGCGTGTCTGAGGGCGTGTGTAAGGCCGCGTCAGCGGAGATTCCTGGAGCCGTGTCATGGGGACGTGCCTGAGGACAGGCCTGGGGCTGTGTCTGGGGACGCGTCTGAGGGCGTCAAAAAACGTCCCTGGGACCGTGTCCAGGGGCGTGCCTGGGGATACGTGTCAGGGGACTGTCTGAGGGCGCGTCTGGGGACGTGACTGGGGACGTGTCCGGGGGCGCACAGCTGCCAAGGCCTGGGACGCACGAACAGCCGCGCACGAGATGAATCTGGGACAGTCCTGGGACGCACCATTGTCTGGACCTGGGGCACACCATCCTCGAGCAGACTCGCACGAGATGCACTGGGGACGGCCCTGGGACGCCAGCATGGTCTGGATCTAGGACGTGCGGGCACGCTCGAAATGCGGTTCTGGCGACCGATCTGGGTCCCCAAGACGGGAGCCAGTGCCCCCCGAAGGGGAACCCCGAGTGCTGTCATCGGTTGTGAGGACAAAAAGACTCGAAGAAAACGTTGATCATGCCGCGACCCCAGAAGAGCAGCACGACCTACAGGAACAACAGCCGGTCTTGTTTGAAGACCGCATCACCTGGGGCAAAGCCCGCCGTCCACCTCCGCCACCTCCTCCGCCACCTCCACGGTCCTTCCTGTGACCTACCCGTACTGGCAGAGATGCCAAAAACAGTCCGTACTGCCACCTTCAATGAGGCTCGGCTACACGCAAGAGTGACCCGGGGTAAGAGCGGCCTTTGGTGCGCGGCTTTTTGGGCGCTGCGGGAGGACCAAACACAGGCGCGTCAGACGCTGCTGTCGCAATCGCGATCGGCGATCGGGACCCCCGTGGGCCCGCGCACCAGAAGGTCACTCTGGCCAAAGGTCGGTCGCTCTTACGTCGAGCTGGTGAGGCATGCTCGGAGCAGCCGCTCGCCACCTTCCCCCCCCGGCCAGCCTCTGCTGTGCAGAGGACCGGGTGGCCACGGCGCGGCCGCCTCACCGACTCGCCCCCAGGGCGCACAGCCGCCGGTGCCGCGAGCGTGGGCGGCCCGCTCTGCCGAGTCGCCCGGGCGGCCCGCTGCGCCGCTCTGCTCTGCTTTGGCATCACTCTGCCTTGCAGTGCAGGGCGTTGTGCTGAATTGCTTCGCATCGCTTCGCTCGGATCTGCTGTGCATTCCACGTGTGTATGTGCAGCCTTCCTGAAAAGAAAGACGTGACGGATCGACTCAGAAGCCCCCCCTCCCCCATCCAAAGTTGGCTCGTAACGAGACCGCTGTCGCGCCCGGGGGTTCGATGCAACGTTGAACGGGGGAGGGGGTGCGCCGATGCGAGAAGATGACCCCATGACCAGACAGTCCCATGAAGACTCTGATGCGAACCCCGAGGCATTTCATGAAACCTATGGCCACCTGTGCCAAGTTTGTCTTCAGGAGCGTGGTAGTTGTACAATTTGGCCTTAACTCGTATTGCTTTAGCTGCATTGCGTTACTTATGTTTGCATTGCATTGCATTGCATTGCATTGCATTGCATTGCATTGCATTGCATTGCATTGCATTGCATTGCATTGCATTGCATTGCATTGCATTGCATTGCATCGTTCTGCATGTCTTGCCATGTTTGCGTATATCGACAGTGCTTGAATTGTTGTGTTAAACTGAATTGTGTTTCATTGCATGGTGTTCGACTGTGTTGCATTGCGTTGCATGTCTTGGCGTGGCTTTGATTGCACTGTATTCACTTACGTTGCACTGCGTCGTATCGCATTGATTGCCATACACGGCTTCGCGCTGCTCTGTATCGTGTTGCATTACGTTCCGTTATGCTGCCTTGCTCTGCGTTGCCCCAGAGGAAAGAAGCCGCCTGACAGGCGTCGCGTTTGGTTCGACCAGGCGCTCCCCCCTTCCCTGATCTCCGCTCTCGTGTGTGGCAGAAGGTAGCGGGCGAGTCTTGAAGAAGAGCGAGCGGCATAAACACGAACTTTCGACGGTCCGCTCGAATTTCTTGGATCTGAGCTGGACCCACACTCAGCCCCTCTTTTGTCGGCGGCGAGCGAGGGAGGGAAATGAGAAGGAGAAGGCCTTCTCAGGAGGCGGCGGGACTTCTCAGAAGCCCTCGCGCCTTCTGAGAAGCTTCTTGTGTCTTCGGGGAAGGCTTAGAAAACTTCTCAGAAGGCCGAGGGACTTCCGAGCCTTCTGAGAAGACCCGCCCCTTTTCACTCCCCCCCTCGCTCGCCGCCAAGTTGTCCTACACGTATTAGCTTTCAAAAAAACTTCAGCATGCGCTGCTTAGGGAACAGGGTGCGCTCCCGACGGAGCTGTGAGCATATGAATCACAAGTGTGGCTTCACCCCATGCGCTCGCGTCCTCCAGCATAGGAAGGTGGGTCCACGTGGAAGCGCAAAAGGAACACAACTGCAACGGCCAGCCGTGACCCGCTTGGGACCCGGCTACACATTACCTGCGGTCATGCCTGCAAGCGAGTATCCCACGACTAGCAAAGGCTCTGCATCCACCACAAGATCCAGGATCGGCGTATACAGGCATGTCGGGAGCGCTTTTGCTGAAGCCTTGTGGATGCCATGACAATGGACACTCTAACAGATCCAATCACTGGCTTCCATAACTGAAGCCCTTCCCTGAATTCTCGCGTCGGGCCGTGGCACGTGGCACTGCGCCGCCTTACGCTCCAGACGCGGTGGGCGGGCGTGGGGGGGCGAGCGGAAAGGCGAGAAGCACAGGGGCGTTCACTCAATGTTTGCCCCTGGTTTTTGCCCCTACTCGCACCTTCTCTTCTCCGCAGCTTTGATTGGATCAGGCAACAGCCCAACAAGGGCGACCGTGCCACATGAGTTTGCAGGCATAGCGTTTGAGAAAACATCCACCTCAGACAGGGGAAAGCCACAGGGGACAGCTGGTAGGGCTGCCCCTTCCCTGCACGACGGAAGCGGCAACGGCAAAGCAGGGCGGAAACCGCTGTCAGGGACGCTGGAAGAGCATGGCGGATCCAGAGTTAGGATCTGCTGTTCTGCCATATCGAGGCAACAGCGGGAGAGGCGACGGTCAGGAGATACGGCGTTACGGCTATTGCGAACGTGTCGGCTACCATGAGGCCCAAAAAGGGGGAAACGGGCGAGGGGGTAGAGGATGTGTACCTTCTCCTCCTCCGAATGTCCGGGCTCGCAGGGGGCCCTCCCCAGCGGCCAGAGATCGACGAGCGGTCTCGGGTGGCGGCTCGTGGCGACCCGACCGCCCCTCCGCCGCGCAGTGAGGGCAGCGCGCGGGCCGGACGGCGAGGCAGGTGGCCACGAGACTCGGACTGGTCTTCCAGCGGCCGGAGAAAGAAGATGATGGTGGCAGTGATGATGATGATGATGATGAGGAGGAGGAGGAGGAGGAGGAGGAGGAGAAGGATGGTGATGATGATGATGATGATGATGAGGAGGAGGAGGAGGAGGAGGAGGAGGAGGAGAAGGAGGAGGATGCGACGCGCGGCATCGCTAGCAGGAGAGCAACGACGGAGGAGGGTGCGCCGCAGCCACTCTCGCCTCCCCACCTCGGCAGGAGGGGACCCGGACGTGCTCGCATCCCGGTAAGGTCACGACGGGAGGTTTCGGGCCGTTTTCGGCCTCTGGGGGCCCTCGCCAAGCACGGGGCCAGCAAAGCCTGGCCCAGGGTGAAAAAGCTGCCCCACGGAAGGGCTCGGGACATCTGGGGACCGCGCATCGCAGAAGCCAAGGCACCGCATGTCTGGGTGCGCCACGGTCACCCTCGCCTCCCCGCCTCAGCAGGAGGGAAAGGGGTCCTGGTGGAGACTGGCCCTGACCCGCGGGGTTCCCCCCGGGACCAGCGATTCATCCCGGGTCTGTTTCTGACGCGTCCTTCCTCCCTCCTCCCCTTGCATGGCGGCACAGTTCGCTCCAACGGCATCCCCGTCTAAACCTCTCATCGCCAGCACAGTCAATCTCTGCCGAGCCGCCGACGCAAAAGAAGTTTCTGACGGCCGCCCGGGCCCAGGGAGGGCCTCGGGAGGCCGAGAACGGCGAAAGCAAGCGGCATCTCCACGCCAGCCGTCGATTCTCCTGAGTCGATGGAAGACGGGGGCAGGGCTCGGACTTCGCCACACGTTTCGAGTCGGGGATCGACTGCAGACTTGATCCACCCCACGATTGAAGTGGTCGTCGACTCTGCGAAAAGGCAAAGAGCGTGTCTGGATGTGATAGCATTCTGCGTATGGTCGACGAAGACAACCATTATTCTGTGGCAAGTGCATTCTGTAGTCGATTCTGTATTCGAATGCTCGACGGACGCCGAGCCCCACCCCCGCCGCCCCTCGAGCTGCCTAAACCGTGGACCGGCGACGGCAGTGCGGGGCCCAAACATCTACACCACCACCACCTCCCTCACCCCCCTCCCTCCCCCTGGGAAGGAGGCAAGGCACGAGGGGCAGAGGAGGGAGGAGGAAGCGACGTGGTGGTGGTTTTCATACTCTTGGGGCCCGCAGGCAGGGCTCGGACCCCGCCACGTCCTCGGCGAATGCGGAGCCCCACCCCCGCCGCCCCTCGAGCTGCCTGGACCGCGGGGATCGGCGGAGGCGGGGCTCGGATCTCGCCGCCGAGGCACGGGGCTCGTCCGGGGCCCCGCTCGTCCGGGGCCCCCCGTCTCTCCTGCGGGCTGGCCCGCGCCACCCCCCCCCCCCCCCACCCCACCAGCGCGGCGGTCTGCACCCCGGCGCCGGCTTCAGATCATGCACGCGTAGACCGTGACGATGACGTCCATCGTGTCGAGGCCCACCTGCCGCGAAGGGGCCGCGCGGGGGCGCGGCCGCGCAGCAAAGGGGCCCAGGCATCGGGCGTCTCGGAGTCGATGCGGCGGACTCTTCTCGTTCTCGGCCTCTCGGGGCCCCTGCTGGGCCTCGGGGCCGTCCAAGGGCGACTCGGGATGCAAAATCAGTCCCAGGGGAAGCGGTCGAGTGGTCGGGGGGGGCCCACGTCTCCAAAGCATCGAAGCGCAGGATTTCTGGGGAGGAGCGGGCAGGTGGCGTGCTCTCGGGAGCGGCTGGGCAGACGCGCGCGCCGGGCGACCCAAGCCAGCGTGGCATGCGCGGTAGTGCGGCGAGCTCGGGGGGGACGCGAGCGGGGGCGGGCCTTCGAAGCCCCGCCGCCTTCTGAGAAGGCCTGCCCCCTTTCGCGTCCCCCCTGGGGGCGCCGCCGAACAGTGAGAAGGCTGAGGATACAGGCAGAGGCAGTCCGCTCCAGCGTGTGGCTAATTCTAGGTCGGGCATGTCCTCCTACAGGCGGATTTTGGACGAGAAATTGAACATAGTCAAAGAAAACTATTTTTGACTATTCCTCCTGCAGAGGGACATGCCCGACTGAAGGCTAATCGGGGCGGCCGAAATGCGAATTGGCTGGCGCGCAATAGGCTGAGGATACACGGAGGGCGCCTTTTCACGCGCCGCCCGGCCTGGCCAGGGTCATCATCCTGGGCCCTGGCACGTGGCGCACACGCCCTCCCGTCCGAGGCCACGGGGGCAGGTGCACCATGCCGTGGCCCAGGGTGGCCCACTATATAGTGGAGGCCGGTCCGCAAGAAACCTTCCACAAGAAACCCAACCCGGAGACTCCAGGACGTCCTTTGATCTTTGGTGTGGGAACGTCACGCTTTCCGTCGCAAAACCAATCGAAACCCAAGAAACCCAGGGCACCCTGGAGGCAAGCAGGGTGTTTCTTGGCATGGATCTCCACTGTATGTCCTCCTTGGAGGCGCGCGTCCGACCCGATCACACAGTATACCCATCTTGCAGTACATCGTTTCCCGAGCGGTGGGGCCAGGAAGCGCCCGACACGACTCATACGACAAGATTTCTCGGTGCGCGCGTCGCCCCTGGGGGGGGGGGGGGGGCGACGCACACACAGTACTACTGTGTTGGGATGAAGCCGATACGGGTGCCAGTCCCCGTCCTCCGCATTTCTTCTGAGCATCGTTTCACCGATCCCTGTCCCCCACTGGCGTGGCCTGGGCCCCACACCGGCCGGTTTACCCCCCCTAGATGGGGATGTAGGTTCTCTTCACCCTCCTCCGCCTCCCGATATCCCTGGTTCAGACGGGCTGGACACGTCGCAGACCGCTGCGAGAGTAGTGCGAAGCACGCACGCAGAAGCACACGACTGCACGGGCGCAAGCCAGAACTCCAACGAAGAGCACGGGGTGCAAGTCGTTGCGAGCCGACGATGCACAAGCGAAGCAACGGGAGGCGGGGGAGCTGGAAGAGCGGGGCTGAGCAGGCCAGCGCCGAGGGCAACAGAGGGAAGGGAGCGGCAGAGGGGGCAGCAGAGCAAGCAACAAATAGCTGTCGGGGGTCCGCGTGGACTTCTTGGGTCGGCCCTGGACCCCTCTCCCCTGGCGCGCCAGGGGCGGCGCCAGCGGTGACGCCAGGGTGGATCCAGCAGCGGCCCAGCGCGGACCTCCGGAAGGTGATGTCTGTGCCGATGCTTGCTCCTCGGGACGAGGGATGGCCAGATGGTAGAGGGCTTGAAGCCAGGACAGGAGCCGCGGCAAGTCGAGGCACGCAGGGGGAAATCGTACCGTACAAGACGCGGAGGCATCGCACAGAATGCATGGATCAAGCGACACATCCCTCGGGCGCCAGCTGCACCCGCAGTGCACTCACCGGGACTCTCTGATTGGCCCCTGGTGCCTCGGACGCAGTGGAAACCGAGGGCGATCAGCCTCAGCCGAGGAGGTTGGGAGACGTCCCCGCCACCGGCCCTCCCCCCCCCGCATCGGAGAGAGGGAGGGCTTGCACCACCCCCACCACCGGGCCCCTGCTGCCCCCTTGTGAGCCCAGACCGAGCACGGTGACGGCACCAGATCAGGAACCCGTCGATAGGGAACCCAGGGTCCGGAAGCCAGTGGAACACCAATGGAGGCTTGGCCATTGATGTCACCGCCGCCCTTGTCAGAGAAGGAACCCCCCAGGGTCTGAATCCTCCTGGCGCACGCCTGAGCGAGCGCGCCCCCACCGTATGCACTCTCTCCTGGCCCAGGCCCCCCCAGACCCGGCCCGGAGCGGGCCTGCGGATCCCCAGAAGCGGCGCGTGCTCTCCCGCCCCCGACGTCCGGGGCCAACCACGGGCCCGACCAGAAGAAGCCGCCCACAAGACATCCAGCCCTGAGACCCCAGGACGTCCATTGACTCTTGGTGTGGGAACGTCACGCTTTCACAAAAGAAACAGTGCACCCTGGAGGCAAGCAGGGTGTTTCTTGGCATGGGTCTCCACTGTAGAGAGCAGCGGGCGGCCAACGATCGTGGGGGGTCCACAAGGTACCGATACCGCTACTCCCCGGGCCTCTCCCAGGGTGCGCTCTCGCCAGGATCCCGAGGCGCATCCAGCGACGGCGCCGAGGGCCTCCCAGGAGGCCCGAAGAGGGGAAAGCGGGGCAGGGGTAGCGGCATCAGAAGAAGAAACAGGGCCATGAACATAAATGTTTTGGCGCTCCGCGCGGAATTCTTGGATCTGCGCTGGACCCCCCTCCCTGGCGCGCTCCGCGCGCCGGGAGTGGCGCCGGAGGCACCGCCAGGGGGGGCCCAGCGCGGATCCAAGAAATCCGCGCGGAGCGTCAACAGTAACCAAAAGTTCATGTTTACTGTAGGGGCCCGACCACAAGAAACCCTCACGAGAAGCCCAACCCTGAGACCCCAGGGCGTCCATTGGTTCTTTTGGTGTGGGAACGTCGCGACGTCCATCGCAAAAGCCTCGAAACCCAAGAAACCCAGGACACTCTGGAGGCAAGCAGGGCGCTTCTTGGCATGGGTCTCCACTGTATGTCGTCTTGTCCTCCTCGAGGTCTGGGTTCCCCGTTCCTCCCCCGCTCCTCCCCCGAGGTCGCCAGGGCAGGCGCCGGCCGAGCCCCGGCCCGCCTGGACGCAGGAGACGCCGTCCGTCTTCGTGTCCTACGGGCGCCCGCGGCGCGCGCGCAGCTCCGGCGCGCGCGCCGCGCGGGCGGCCAGGAGACCGCAGCGACGCGCGGGCAGGAGGCTCCCTCCCATCGGCGGCGCGCGAGGGGGGGGCTTTCCAGAAGGCCGGGGGACTTCCGAGCCTTCTGAGAAGGCCTTCCCCTTCTCACTTCCCCCCGGGCGCGCCGCCGATCCCAGACAAGCTCGCGTCGTGGAAAAACAAACAAAAAGTCCGCGGGCGCGGTCCAGGACAGTCAGGCACCGGTCAGCGAGCCCCGGGGGCCGCACTGGAGGCGAATCGAGGCACGAAAGCGAAACGGGAAAGGGCCAGCCGAGACCATGTCGTCGCGACCCAAACCACAGCAAAGCAACAAACGAAGACGACGGGAAGGCTTTGGACGTCTTCGGTCGCCAGGGGGCCCTTCGCCGGGCCCCGAGGCCAGCAAGAAACCACTGGGGGCGCCAAGTTCTGGGGACCCCGTCCGGCAGAGGTCAGGGCCTCGCTTGACTGGGTCCCTCTCTCCTCGCCTGGCGCGTCCCCAGGGATCAGGGAGGGCCACCCTGGAAGGTCCAGCACCCCGAGGGGCCCGAAAGCAGTGGGGCGAGAGCTCCTCGAGTCCCCCCGGCAGCGGGGGAGCAGCGGGAGCAGGCGGATGACGGCGACGGCGACAAGGGAGCCCGTGGGTGCCCGGGGGCAGGGGGGGGCGCCACCTTGCACCCTGACGCTCCCCCTGCGCCAAGCCTCTCTGGGCGCGCGTCTCCACCGAAGACTCTTGCGCGCCAGCTTGGGGCTGCCGGAGGCCCCACGCTGCCTCAACTGAGCAGCCGTGGTCTGAGAGGTCAGACGCTAACAGAGCAGCATCTGAGATGCGCCTCGTCCGCTCGCAGCCACATCCCCTGCCCCGAGTCCCCATCAATCCTGCCAGTTACGAGAAGACTCCCCCGAGATCGCCAGAAAAGGTCATCACGGAGATGAGCTTGGGTATCTGCATGAAGGGTGGAAAATGGGACGTACAGAGACATACCAGCACTATAGATCCTCATTGGAGGCACGCGTCCGACCCGAACATATACTATACCCATCTTGTAGTATATCGGTCCCCGAGCGGTGTGGCCAGAAAGCGCCCGCCACGACGCATATACAATAAGATTTATCTGTGCGCGCGTCGCCCCTAGGGGGGCGACGCACACTTAGCATTAGTATGTTGGGGTGGCGCCGAGGAAAGTCTGCAAGAGAAGGGAGGGGAGGTGGGCGCACGGGCAAAGCAGACCACGACACCTCCCGAGTTCATAGCTCCACCCCTCTCGTCAGACTCGGACCGCAGGCAGCGGCGATCCTGATGGGTTCTCGGTGCATGGGGACGCTGCCGATCAGACGTGACCGTTTGAGAGTGGCTGGACTTTGGCCTGTGAGGCCACGAACTCCAGCGCTCGCAAGGCCGTCCGCGTCCTCCAATGGTGGCACAAAAGACAGCTCCACCAATGCAGCCGTTCTGCAGGGCCCACTCCTCTCCCTCCAGGCTCTTTACCCGTTCCACTGATCACTGCGCCGACATGCCAGATACGTCAACACCAGACCCCGAGGCCGCAGGACCCTCTCTGGCGTGTCAGGGACTCTCTGGACTCTCGGGAGCCAGTCAGACCCTTTTACTTCAATGTCCGAACACAACCCGAGGCTGCACCCCTCTGTACTCGCATCACCCCAAAATTGACAAGCACTGAAGTCCCAGTGCAGCGCGAGGCCCGTGTGCAGCGGGGAGCCGTTCTTCTGCATTATGATGCACGTGACCACATACTGCGGCGGCAGAGGTGGAGGCGGATGTTGCGGGCTGCGGTCTATACAGGAGGCGGAGATATTGAATGACAATCCCAGGGACGTGCACAACCCGCTCAGGGGCTCAGAACGTGGCGACAGCCCCACGCTTGGGCACCCAGGGAAGCGCAGACTTAACTCCAGTCCGCGTCTGTCACCACCCCGGTGAGCTCCATAGGGGATCACAAAGTGGCGACCGTTCTACGCTAGGGGGCACCCAAGGGGGCGAGGTCTCATCTGGGTTATCGTACGTCGATGCTCCGTTGGTGCCCCCACGGGCTCTGACAGCTGAGACAGCTACACGCCAGGGAAAAGTATAATTCTGGCAATTTGCTCGTCAGCCGAAGTCACATCTCCGCCGATGAAGCGAGATCGAAGTCGGCCGCTGCCCCGCTGGACTCTCCAGGCAAAGAGCGGTGATAGGTCCAGGGGTCGGAGCACCCGAGGCGGAGAGGACTCGTGTCCCTCTGTGCAGGCCCCCGTTCTGCTAGAACACCGATGTGCTCAGAAAGTGGGTACGCACAGTGCTATCGCTGTGGAAAACCCAGGGAGGCGAGGTCTCATCTGGGTTGGCACCAGTAATCGCTCCGTTGGGGCTCCCACTACGGGCCCTGAAAATTGCGACGGTTCCGCGCTCGGGGGCGCACGCAAAAGCGACGTGGTCTCTATGTGAATCCGAGCAAATCCCACCCGTCAGACCCCACCACCCAACCCCAAACTTTGAAAATGGCAACAATATCAAGCCTGGGGGCATCCAGGGAAGCAGGGTCTTGCTTGGGTCCGCATGGTTCTCAAAATGACGGCAAATCCACATACGGAATACCTGGGATGTCGATATCTTCTCTGGGCCCAGGCAGCACACAGATCCGCTAGCCTCCCCAGGGGGCAGGTGGCGTCACTTCCATGCTTGGGGGCGCCCAGGGAAACGAGATCCCATTTGAGTCCGCGAAACAACCGCTCCGCAGGGCTTCCCACGGGCTCACGAAGGACAGATGGTCCGACGCATTGAAGCGCTCAAAAAGAGAAGGTCTCGTTTGGGCATGTGTAGGCCACAGCTCCACTGGACTCCGCATGCTCTGGAAACAGCAACAGTTGAGCGCGCAGGTGCATCCAAGGCAACGGGGTCACTTGGGTCACACGGCTCTGCTGGACCCCCAAGGGGGCTCAGGAATACTCGGGAAATGGCAGGCGCAGAGAGGACGCAGGGGATGCGGAGAAAGGAGGAACCCAGAGGAGCCCAGATCAAGACAAGAACCCCACCCAAAGGAGGGCCGGGATCATCACCAAAACAAGCGAGAACCCCAGCGAAACGAGAAATCCATCAGAACGAGAACCCACCAAAATAACCCGAACAGCACGTGCAGACACTTGATGGGAAAGAGCACGGTACCCCAACCCCCGACGTCGTGATTTTTTCACAACGTCGACCCCCAGAGGTCTGGACCCCTTCCCCGGGACCAATTTTTTCGTCCTGTACGGTCCTGAGCCCCAGTACTGGCCCCCGGAAGCCGAAAATTGGGAAAAAAACTCCCGTCGTGATTTTTTCGCACGCGAGGAGGTCTGGGTACGGCACCACGGTGCGGCGCGACGCGGCAGCAGGTCGCGCGTCGGGCGACACCCCGCACCACACGCCACGGAACAGCACACCAGCCGACGACACCGCACCGCGCCAGCTTCTGCGCGGCACACGGCACACGGCAGCACACGAGACGGCACGGCACGGCACCACTCTGCGGCACAGCACAGCATATGCGTAGATTCAAGACGACGACGACGATGACGACGAGGACGACGACGAGGACGACGACGATGACGACGACGACGACGACGACGAGGACGACGTCGTTGTCGTCGTCGTCGTCGCCGTCGTCATCGCCCACGTTGTCGTGGTCCGTGGTCGCCGTCTCCACAGTCGCCGCTGCCGCCGCCGTCGTTGTCGCCATCGCCGCCACCGCCGCCGCCGTCATCGACGCCCCGCCACCGTCGTCGACGGCGCTGTCGCCGCCAGCGCGATGCAAATGCCAGGCAAAGCAATGCAATAAAACGTGGAATACAATACAACGACATTGAACGCAATGGAGTACGATGCGTCGTGAAAGCCACGCGAAAACCATGCGTTGCGAACGCAGCGCAGTGACGTACAGCGCCATGCAACACAAGGCAATGCAGACGCAACGCACGCTCAATGCAAACACATGACGGGTTTCGGAAATCCTGAACTCCAAAACGTGTGCATCTCTTGGCGGAGCCTGCTTCACCTCCGCCACCTTCCGCCGCCCTTCCCCCAGCTTCCGCCAGCGGAGGCGGCCTCGTTCTACTTCCGCCGACCTCCCGCGGCCCTTCTGCCGCCATCCGCCGCGGAAGGGATGACAGCTCCTCCCATCCTCGAAGGCGGGGCCCTTTTTGGAGCGCCCCGCGTGGCCTGTTACCGCGTCACGACTGCCGCAGTGCGCCTATGGCTCGTGGTGTGCGGAGTGGGCGCGGCATCAGGCGACACACTGCGACGAAGCACAGAGTTCCCCTGAGCGCAGAGAGCCCGCTGGCCGCCGTGACAAAGCGGCACGGGGCAAGTTTCAGAGGGCATGGAGCCAGTGAAGTCGGATGCAAAGGTTCGGCGGCGAGCGAGGGGGGGAAGCGAGAAGGAGAAGGCTTGCTCGGAAGGCGGCGGAACTTCTCAGAAGCCCTCGCGCCTTCTGAGAAGTTTTGTGCGTCTTCGGGAAAGGTTTAGAAAACTGCTCATAAGGCCGTGGGACTTCCGAGCCTTCTGAGAAGGCCTTCTCCTTATCACTTCCCCCATCGATCGCCGCCAAAAGGTAAGCGGGGGGGTACACCCCGATGGCGGAGTCGGTTTCCCCATGCGAAGAACTGGCGGCGTAAGCATTCACACTGCAACGAGCACGTAGCAACTAAAAGGAAGCTTGCGCGCGGGGCTGAAACCTCCTCGGTTTCCCACGCTGCCGCCCGTTGAAACCTCGTTGCCGCCTCGTTGCCGCCTCGCGCGCTGGGTGGGTCCGACAGGTTTCGCCACGCTGCCGCTCGTTGCCGCCTCGTTGCCGCCTCGTGCGCTGGATGGTCTGGCGAGGTTTCACCACGTTGCCGCCCGCTGCCGCCTTGTTGCCACCTCGTGCGCTGGGTGGGTCTGGCCAGGTTTCGCCACGTTGCCGCCCGCTGCCGCCTCGTTGCCGCCCATTGCCGCCTCGTTGCCTCCTCACGCGCTACGTGGGTCCAGCGAAGTTTCGCCACGTTGCCGCTCGTTACCGCCTCGTTGCCGCCTGGTGCGCATAGTGGGTCCAGCGAGGTTTCGCCACGTTGCCGCCCATTGTCGGCACGTTGCCGCGCGCTGGGTTGTTCCGGCGAGGTTTCGCAACGTTGCTGTTTCGTTGCTGGCTCATCAGCCCCCTGCTCCAGAGCGCGGCTGGGGTAAAACCCGCCGTGGTGCCCGCCCGCCACGGCAGCGGCTCCGACAGGGAGAGGGCCGCTCGCGGCATGGGGGAAGCAGCCTCGAGCCGACGTTGCGATTCCCGCGCACCAGGTCGGTCGTCGCCATGCCCTGCCAAGAACTCGAAGGAACTCGAAGGAGGCGCTCGAAGGCACGGGCCTTCGGAGGGCCTTCCGAGGCCTCCTGACGGCATCAGGAGGCTTCCAGAGACATCCTGGGCCCTCCGTAAGACCTGCGAGGGCCTCCATGGGCCTCGAGGGACGGCAGCTTTCCCCCACCCAGGTCCACTTGGAACGCCGTCAAGTCCACGCTGTCATACTCCCTTCACCGCCCGTGCTGGGTAAGGCAAGCTGCATAGGAAGAGGCTGTTCCATGAAGCGGTCCTTGAAAGGCTTCCCCGCCTTCGCGAACTCCTACACCACAGGGACGAAGAGCACGGGGATTCCACAGGGAGGCGAACGACGACGGTAGATCGACAAATTCACCAACTGAGAGGGGGAGGGGGGAAATGAAGAGGGTTGTAGTAGGGCGTGCTAAGGGGGGGGGAACCATGGATGAGGAGGGAGAGGAGGTAAGGAAGAGGACGAGCGGGAGGACGAGGAGACAGCGGAGAAGAAGGAGGAGGAGTTAACCGAGTTCGGTTCCAGCAAAATCGCTAATCAGCAGAGACAGTGCTCTGAAAACCGCACGCAACTGCAGGCTGCATGGAGGCGCCATAGCCCGTCGCCAAGCATGTACAACTCCAGAGCAAAATGGGCACTCAACGTGGGGCAACAGAACGTCGGTTTCGCAGAGGGCTTGCTTCCTGCCGTTAACTCGAAGCCTAGGGCCTGAGAATCTCGTCCCAACCTGCTCCCAGCGGCACTAGCTGCCAATGGCCAGCATGAACCCTAGAAAAACAAAACCCCACCAGCCCTCTGGGCGTAATATACCGCACGCGGGGGGCAACCAAGGGGGGCCTCGAGTCGCCGTCAAACCGATCGCCAAAGCCATCACAACCAGCCAGCCAGCCAGGGCATCCAGCCAGCCAGCCAGCCAGCCAGCCTATCCCGCCTATCCCCGCCGCCTGCCCCCCATCACCACCAAAGATAGGAGAGGGCCTCGTGCCAGAGAACAATAAAACGAAATCGCCTCAGTGGAGCCCGGAGCGAACGGACGCCGGGCGACCATCCTGCGGCTGGACGAGAGCCTGGCCGCCGAAGGACCGTCCCTGACGATCCCCACCAGAAGCCCAGAAGGAGGACCCCTCGTTCTCCGACGGAAGAGGAAGGGAGGAGGAGGAGGAGAAGGACGGGGAGGGAGGGGAGGGAGGGGGCAGAGGGAAGGGGGATGAAACGATGAGCGATATCTGCCTTCCACTTGCTGTTTGCCACAATTTGCTTCGATGCTTGCTATGGTGCTTGCGTGCTGCAGTTTCTGACCCGCTTGGCTGCGGCCTCCTTGCTGGCAGTGGTGAAGGCCTAACACGTCCTCGTCCTCCTCGTCCTCCTCGTCCTCCTCCTAATGGTGGCACTACGACAGTCACGACCACCACCACTACCAA